TGGTCCTTCCTGATAACACGTTCAAACTATGTGAGACAAAGTCTCATTATCCTTGCTTCTAATGAGCATTCTGGGTGTACTTCTTCCAAGACAGATTTGTTTGTTCTTCAGGCAGTCCATGGCATGTTCAATATTCTTTGCCAGTACCATAATTCAAAGGTATCAATTCTTCTTTGGTCTTCCTTATTCATTGTCCAGCTTTCACATGCATATAAGGTGATTGAAAACACCATGGCTTGGGTCAGGCACACCATAGTCCTTAAAGTGACATCTTTGCTTTTCAACACTTTGAAGAGATCTTTTGCAGCAGATTTGCCCAATGCAGTACGTCATTTGACTTCTTGACTTCTGCTTCCATGGGCATTGATTGTGGATTCAAGTAAAATGAAATCCTTGACAGCTTCAATATTTTCTCCATTTATCATGATGTTACTTATTGGTCTAGTTGTGAGGATTTTTGTTTTATGTTAAGGTGTAATCCATACTGAAGGCTGTAGTCTTTGACCTTCATCAATAAGTGCTTCAAGTCCTCTTCACTTTCAGCAAGCAAGGTTGTGTCATCTGCATAATGCCAGGTTGTTAATGAGTATTCCTCCAATCCTGATGCCCCGTTATTGTTTATAGAGGCCAGTTTTTCAGATTATTTGCTCAGCATACAGATTGAACAAATATGGTGAAAGGATACAACCCTGACACACACCTTTCTTAACTTTAAACCTACAGTATCTCCTTGTTCTGTTCAAATGACTGCCTCTTGGTCTATGTACATGTTCCTCATGAGAATAATTAAGCGTTCTAGAATTCCCATTCTTCGCAACGGCAATGGTATCCATAATATGTTATGGTCCACACAGTCAGATGCCTTTGCATAGTCAGTAAAACACAGGTAAACATCTTTCTAGTATTCTCTGCCTTCAGCCATAATCCATGTAACATCAGCAATGATATCCCTTGTCCACGTCTAATAAGTTCTATAGGAGAGAGACAGAGAGTCAAAGGATCATTGAAAAGAACTCTCTGCTCTATGTGAGTTGAGAGGAGATTTCTTGTAGGAAATGACCCAAAACCCATTGCTGTCAATTCCAACTCATAGCAACCCTATAAGACAGACTAGAACTGCCCTATAGGATTTCCAAGGCCGTAAATCTTTACGGAAGCAGACTGCCACATCTTTCTCCCCTGAAGTGGCTGGTGGGTTTGAACTGCCGACCTTTTGGTTAGCAGCTGAGTGTGTAACCACTGCGCCACCAGGGCTCGTCTGGGAAATGTCAGTTGAACTGAATCTTGATGATAGAGTAAAACTGTATCAGTTCTACGGGGGACAGAAGAATATTCCAAGTTGGGTGGTGGAGCTGAGATTGAGGCAGAAAAGCATACTGATTTTAGAGAATCTTAAAGGGTGGATACATTAAGAAAGGTTTGGGATTCAACACTCAGAACTATTTTGACATCATTTTATATGTTCTTGAGAGCCATTAGAGACTCTGTGCTGTGCTTTAAAAAGATTGTTGCTATGCCAGTGGCTCAGATAAGAGGGAGTCTGGAAGGAGGAAGACCGGTTAGGAAGATTTACAATTGCCTAGGCAAAAGGAGATAGATTACAAAAACATTACAGCGATAGGATCAGCACTGCCCATGAATTATCTAATAAGAGATGATAGGTGAAAGAAGACTTCAAAGGTGATTCTGAGAGTAAAATCTAAACAATTGGGACCACAGCAGTGTCATTTGTAAACATAATGAAAACGAAGCAGGTTTTAAGGAAAGATTTTAATTATGGTTTTGACCATATTGATTTTGAATTTTATATGACAGAATGACCAGCTGCAAATGCCACTTTGAGAGAGTTTGAACTATAAATGTATATTTGGGAATCATCTGCATCGAAGTGATAGTTGGAATCCATACAGATGATTCCACAGAGCCCTGATGGTGCAATGGTTAAGTGCTTAGCTCCTAAGTGAAAGGTCAGAGGTTCAAACCCACTAGCCTGCTTCGCTGGTGAAAGATGTGGCAGTCTGCTTACGTAAAGATTACAGCCTTGGAAACTTCATGGGGCAGTTCTACCCCACCCTATAGGGTCTCTATGAGTCAGAATCAACTAGACAGCAATGAATTTGGTTTTTGTCATCACTTTCCTTCAGACTGGCTCCATACTCAGGATAGTTGACATCTAACTCTAGTTCTCAGTTAAACTGAGATCAGTGTAATTATGTCCACACATTAATCTGACTGAGAATAGGGAAGAGCACTTGACTGAAGAGAACTGATCGTCCTGATCATAAATTATAATTAGAAGGGCTTTTGTAAATTTTCTCTGTTGGTACATCAAAAAGATAACCATAATATCTGTACTTTACTTTCCCAATGTATTAAATAGAGATTCCTTCTCATGCATCTATCTGGTCATTGCAAAGGTACAAGAGAGAACATTTAAAGAGTTGTACCGACATTGGAAAGTTCGAATTTACTCTTTATGGCCAGGTTTTGCTTTATTTCCTTTTTGGAAAGCAATAAATTACAAAGACATTCAGAGCTTTTTGTTTTGTTCTGTTTTTCCCACCAAACCCATAGAAATAGACCTGTTGCCATTTTTTACGCAGGGTATCAAGATTATCTTCTACTTAAAGCTTTGTTCGAAAAGAAACTTCAATTTGAAGAAATTCATGGCTTTTGAAGTTTCCAAAAGAGGCTAGGAAAATAGAAATTCAGTGATGATGATGCATTGATAGTAGTATTAATAATTACAGTTAACATTTACTGAACGGTTACTATATGCCATGTTGTTGTTAGATGCTGTTAAATCAGTTCCAACTCACAGCGACCCTGCATACAACAGAACAAAACACTGTCCATCCTATGCCGTCCTCACAATCATTGTTATGCTTGAGCCCATTGTTGTAGCCACTGTGTCAGTCCATCTCATTGAGGGTCTTTCTCTTTTTCACTGACCCTCTACTCTACCAAGCATGATGTCCTTCTCCAGAAACTGGTCCCTCCTGATAACATGTCCAAAGTGTGTGAGATGAAGTCTTGCCAACCTCACTTCTAATGGGCATTTCTGGCTATACTTATTCCAAGACAGATTTGTTCATTCTTTTGGCAGTCCATGGTAGATTCAATATTCTTTGTCAACACCATAATTCAAAGGTGTCAATTCTTCTTCGGTCTTCCTTATTCATTGTCCAGCTTTCACATGCATATAAGGTGATTGAAAAGACATGGCTTGGGTCAGGCACACCTTAGTTCTCAAAGTGACATCTTTGCTTTTCAACACTTTAAAGAGGTCTTTTGCAGCAGATTTGCCCAATGCAATGCATCTTTTGATTTCTTGACTGCTGCTTCAGTGGATGTTAATTGTGAATCCAGGTAAAATGAAATTCTTGATAGCTTCAGTATTTTCTCCGTTTATCATGATGTTGCTTATTGGTACAGTTTTGAAGATTTTAGTTTTCTTTATGTTGAGGTGTAATCCATACTGAAGGCTGTAGTCTTTGATCTTCATCAGTGAGTACTTCAAGTCCTCTTCACTTTCAGCAAGCAAGGTTGTGTGATCTGCGTTATCGCAGGTCTTCCTCCGATGAATCTTCCTCCAATCCTGATGCCCGTTGTGTTCTTCTTCATCTAGTCCAGCTTCTCAGAGTATTTGCTCAGCATACAGATTGAATAAGTATGGTGGAAGGATGCAACCATGACGCATACCTTTCCTGATTTTAAACTATGCAATATCCCCTTGTTCTGTTCCAGCGACTGCCTCTTGGTCTATGTACAGGTTCCACATGAGCATAATTAAGTGTTCTAGAATTCCCATTCTTTGCAATGTTATCCATAGTTAATTATGATCCACACAGTCGAATGCCATTGCATAGTCAGTCAATAAAACACAGGTAAACATCTTTCTAGTATTCTCTGCTTTCAGCCAAGATCCATCTGACATCAGCAATGATATCCTTTGTTCCACATCGTCTTCTGACCAGCTTGAATTTCTGGCAGTTCCCTGTTGATGTACTGCTGCAGCCGTTTTTGAATTATCTTCAGTGTCAGGAACATGCAGTGGACAAAATCAGAAACTGGCTATTGCTAGCGTCTTAAGCAATTTCATCTAGTTACCTGCTGAAGGTTTCCAAATAATTTAGTTGCTAATTCTTTTATGACCCTCTTTAAAATATTAGATGAAAGTTCAGCAGTTCTGGAGTGGGTGATTCATTTAACAATGGTTCCACTTCAGTTTTCTTTCTCTGTAAACCAACATGACCATTACAGAACTTGTGATTTCATCAATGTTTCTTCAATTACATATGACTTCCGTAAAGATTTACAGCCTTGGAAACCCTGTGGGACAGTTTTACTCTGTCCTATAGGGTTGCTAGGAGTCGGAATCGACTCGACAGCAGTGGGTTTGGTTTTAGAGTGCTGTTACTATCAACATCTGTTGCTAAGAACTCTGAAACTATTTTACCATCATTAAATTTATATAAGGATGTTCGAATATGATTGTCACTGTGTTGTTTAAAATGCATATATGATTACTGTGTTAAAAACGTACTGTGATTTTTTGATCTCTCCACTACTATCAATTTGTGCTACCGTTAAACTTCAAGATGTATTATTTTTAGTCCAACTGGAAAAGAACTATATTTGTACATTATTCCATTTGGATACCATTTTTTAAGATGTGACAGTTATACAGATATCCCACCTTAAGTACTTAAATAGTTTAACATGATGTTTCCATCAGTATAGCTCTTGGCCTGTTCTTATGTATAAGTTTAAAACCTTGCATATCTACATCCTTGTCAGGCAAATGCCATGGGCTAAAACTGAAGATAATAACATAAGATTCATGTCTCCCTGTTGCAGGTTACAGTTGTCGTGAATTGACAGTTTCGAAGAACCTAACCTGACATCAAAGGATTCAGATGATCTTGTTAGGTCAATTAATGTTAATTTTCATCTTCCATTAAATTCTTTTAAGGTTTTCCTGTTTTCTTTTTTTCTAGCCAAGTCCTATACCAAGTCCTATTTTGGGGCGAAAGCCAAATGCTAGTCAGTCCCTGCTTGTATGGTGCAAAGAAGTTACAAAAAACTACCGGGGAGTAAAAATCACCAATTTTACTACGTCATGGAGAAATGGTTTATCTTTTTGTGCAATATTACACCACTTTAGACCAGATTTAATGTAAGTAGAAACATTTTACATTCCTCACAAATATTTTGTGAATAATGTTTTTTATAATAACAGAAAATAATTTCTTAGCACGTGTCCTGAAATGCTTGATATTATATTTCTTTTTTATTAGAAAAAAGCCCCTCTTGCTTTTTTTGAGAACAGAAAAGTATGCCAGAAAGAAAAATTCTTTCTTCTTGATGCCTAAAAACAATCTTTTCTCTTTAAAAAAAAAAAAAAGTTTTTCTCCTTAATCTCATACAAAGAACCAACTTCAAATTATTATGAAAATTGTGTTAGTATTAAAATGAGATGAGACAAATAAGCCTATAGCTCTTCGTACATTGACAACAAGGGATTACCTCATGGTAAATTTTGGTTGTCAAGGCTAGTCTCTGGTCCCCTGCCTTAACTTCTCTTTTAGATGGGAAGCTTCAGGCAATGAAACATGTAATCACTGTTTTTATTTATTTATTTATTTATTACCTTAATTTTCCACACTATTAGTTTTGTTGATTAAATTGCTGTGAAATTGCTAGTTACTCTTTGGTATTACAGAATGTCAAATTTTTAGATTCAGTTTGTTTTAAAAACAGCTGTTTTGTCAAATACCATATGTACCCACTATGCCATTTTCTCCCTCAGTGACTACAAGTCTCTGAATCCTCAAGATATTAAAGAGAACAACAAAAAGGTAAGAATTGCCAGGGGAAAAAATATGTAGTTTCAATTTTGGCTTCTCTGCAGATTTTTGTTCATTTGGTGAAGTGAGGTGGTTTTATGAGGTCATAACTGCAGCTCACAGAAAGTATTCTGCTTCCTGCAGTTCAAATAGGATTGCATGGTCACTCTAGGTTGTCAAGGATTTTAAAGATCACAAGTACAAACTGCCATCAGATTATAATATGTGTATGACCTGCATTAGCTGTTTAAATATTTGTTCAAACAAGTTGCTTTTATTCCAAGATTTACCTTTAAAAAAAAAAAAACAAACCCGAACCTGTTGCCATTGAGTTGATTCCGACGCATAGTGACCCTAGAGGACAGAGAAGAACTGCCCCATAGGGTTTTCAAGGAGCAGCTGGTGAATTTGAACTGCCAACCTTTTGGTTAGCAGCTGAGCTCTTAACCACTGCACCACCAGGGCTCCATCTTTAGAAAGTGTTCCCAAAATTGTTGTGCCATAAACTATTGTACGAGTTTAGAACAGCACATTGGAAGAAGATGGGGGGAGCCTAATGGGTTTGTAAGAAAGAATGCATATGAGTTTTAGGTTCCTAGAAGAAAAAAGATTATGAATATTGGTTCTTTTCATTTTCTGGTAAACTATATATCTTTTTTCCACATAATTAATGAATATACTGAGATCAGAGCTTTCCAACTGGTATGAGGGATACTGATCCTTTCAGCCTCCAGGGCAGCTGGGTAGGCCTGAGCTGCTGGATCCCCCTGGGCCAGTTGACTGTGACTGCCAGGTGACTTACCCGTTTACCCCAGTGTCTGCAGTACAATATTATAATTTTCTGTGCACCATAACATGACAAGGAGGGAAGCACCTAATTCAGTACATAGTAGGTACTCAATTAATGGGTTTTTCTTCTTGATTTTTTGCACTAAATTGAGTTCTTCAACTGAAAAAGGAGTGAAATGTCTGATAACAGGAGTTCTTAACCCAGGATCTGTGCACAGAATTCAGGGGGCTCTTGAACATGGTTATGGAAAAAAAATACATTTTTACTTTCAATTTTGAATATAGGCAACAAACCACTGTGTTATTAGCCATGCCTAAGACTTTGTCACCTTTAGAAATCACAGATACTTCGTATCATGTTACAGTTCTCGCAAATATCTTCAAATGCCTTTTAAACTCTTCAGTTCTTCAAAATTACATTAGTTAATACATTCATAAAAAGTACATGTATTGCTTTTTCCCAGATGTTGTTTTACTAATATTTTGATGGTTGTATTTTTCAACTTAATCGGTTTCTTTTATAATCCTTCATGTTTTTTGTATTTAAAACATTATTCTGAGAAGGGGTCCATAAGTTTCAACACATTGCTAAAAGGGTTTATAGGATAAAGGGGTTAGTAACCTATACCTATACTAAAGGTTTTAATCTACTTTAAATTAGATAATTAAAAATACCAATGACAAAAAGCCTATAAAGGGAACCTTAATAGTTCAGTTAACAGACAGATATTTAAATCAAAGCAATTTTTATTTTCACTGCTCTCTGAAAACTAAAAATTTGTTTTGCCTTTTAAAAAATCTTGTTTTTCTGTATGTGTGAATACATGATGCTAGCCCGAAAATAATACATTTTAAAATTTCCTCTTTTTTTTTAAATTGAAATATGCCTCCAAAAATGCTGATCTTTAAAAATCAGTTTTTCTTTATAGAAATCACCTTTCTGGTGGCATGCTACAAAGAAAGTCATTCTCATGAATTATTTCTTGTATGATTTTGGAGCCTGTGTCTATCAAAGTAAAGTGCCCTCTTTTTCATCAATTAAATTATATCTTTAGCTACGACATTTCTTTACCTACATTTTCTTGCATTTGAATATAATACTAAGCTAATTTGAATGGAGATGTAAGCATTTTAAACATAAGCCATCATTATTTTTATAAAGCAAAACTTTCAATTTACTGCTGGAAATTTTGAAAAAGAAACATTGTTGATTTCACCTATATATTTTTAAAGAAGGTAAGGAATCTTATTAGGCTTTAGTCACACTCCTTTACATTGTTTTCTCAGGAACTTAATGATGCGCAGTCCTCAGATTTACATATTACTAGGTGGAGAAGAATAGCTCATTAAAATTTTTTCTCAAATCTTCCAGACCAGATAATTACAGCTTTTTGAAAGGATTTTAATTTAGATGCTCTTATTCACTGCACTATTCAATAAGTGATTGTTTTTGTAGTCTTCCCTTTTCATCACCACGACGTCTTGCCTGATATCTGCGTTGAGTATCTCATTTGCTACCTGCAGATTTATTTCCGGCTTCACACAGTTCTTCCCGATAACCCTGTATGCCCTCAATTGGACGAAATGCAGCACAAGAAACAATGCCTGTGTCTTAAGTTCCAGGCAGACACATAACAGAACTCACAGTGACTTCTCCTTACCAATTAAAATAACATCTAGGAATGAATAAGACAATTTTCTTTGAAAGACCTCTTTTTTTCTTCGCTCACAAACAGCTAAAAAGACAGTAGGTGATTGACCACAGTAGAAGAGGTTAACCTATGGGAACATTCCTTGACCTCGCTTACAGGAAACCTGGTTTGCTTTTAAGTGTTTTTTTAGTGCAATTAGTGTACATAAAATGAATTGCTATATAAAACAAAACACCAGCAGAAGATTCCCCACAAGGAAGCTAATCATTTCCCCAGGTCTGTGAAAAGTGCTGAATGAAAAAGGTATTTACCTGTGACATCTGATCTTAACCAGTATGTCAGTGTTTTAGGTAATTGGGAAATGTTTAGAATACTGCCTGTGGTGCTTTTATTGATGGTCTGCAATTGATGTCTGTCAATCCAGTTGTCAAGGCACACGAGGAAGAAAATGACTTTAATTTTCCTAAAATGTGTAAAATAACCAACAGGCCTGTACACGCACACCAACTGAGCCATTCTCTCTAGTAAATATTTTGAGGTACCTATATTATGAAGCATAGTGCTGTGAAAATTAGAGAGGTTTTAATATCGCAGTTTATTTTTCATTTTCTTTCTTGCTTATTCCACAACATTTATTAAACTACAGGAAGAATATGAGACACAGATTAAATTCAGAGGCAGAAAATGCACTTCAACATGGAAGTGCAAAAGACTGATTCCTTCTGAATTGTTACATGATTTCCTAACATTTCTTTTAAGAAAAACTTTGAGTTATGATCCTAAATCTAGGCTGTTAGGAAGAATAGACACATTACACCCCAAAAGAAGAATGTAACTAGAGGATCCTTAATTTCTGCAAGAGTACATCTAAACCTTTAGCCATACTTTTAATGCTTCCTAGCAACACAATGCTGTTTTCAAGGGTTAGTTCAGGATAGTAATAATTAATTGTAAATTGAGAAACAGCTTTGATTCTTCAAAACTAGAAAAACCTGATGTGCCACAGTCATTTAAAGGCTAAAAAAATAATACAATGCAACCTCACATTCTCAACTTGGTTGTAGTACTCAAACCAATTTATTCTTTCCACCACGGATGAAGTGAAAATGAAGTCACTCTTCTCATTATGAAAATCAGTCTTAACTGAGCATTTTAAAAATGTTTCTATGTTTCTAGGCTTACATAGCATTTACTTGTATTTTATATCAGGTAATCTAGGGGTTAGTTCTTTGGGGTTATCTAGCTGTACTTTTTGTTCCCAAATCACTGCAACTGCATGACCATGGATAAAAGAGGTTGACATAGGAATGATATAGCTCGAGATGGATTAGTCTACTGTTTCTTTATACCCTAAGTTCCTTATCTTAAAAATCCATTCTAAGATTTTTTTTGTGTGTTTTAACTCTTATTTTTGCTTATCTTCTTTATTGGAAAAGACTCTTTCAAATGCCTCTACCTCACTTTTACAAATTTCTGACTTTTGGAATTTCATTCATTTTGTATGTCATGATGTCAGTAATACAACGTACCCTCCAACAACAACAAAAATCCATTAAAATTTTGCTGTTTTAAAAATGTGTAGATTGTCTGGACTATTCAATATACCTTTTCTTCTTGCTTCCTTTGAAGGCATACGATGGATTTGCCAGCATAGGAATTTCCCGATTATTGGAACCTTCTGATATGGTTTTATTAGCAATTCCTGACAAGCTGACTGTTATGACTTATCTTTATCAAATAAGGGCACATTTCAGCGGCCAAGAACTAAACGTCGTTCAGATAGAGGAAAACAGCAGTAAAAGCACCTATAAAGTTGGAAACTATGAGACAGATACAAACAGTTCTGTTGATCAGGAAAAGTTCTATGCAGAGCTTAGTGATCTGAAGCGAGAGCCTGAACAGCAGCCTGCCAGCGGAGCAGTAGACTTCTTATCGCAGGACGACTCCGTATTTGTAAATGATAGTGGGGTTGGAGAGTCAGAAAGTGAGCATCAAACTCCTGATGATCACCTTAGTCCAAGCACAGCCTCCCCTTACTGTTGCAGGACTAAAAGTGACATAGAACCCCAAAAGTCCCAGCAGAGCTCTGGGAGGACTTCAGGATCCGATGACCCTGGAATGTGTTCCAGTGTGGACTCAACCCAAGCACAAGTTTTGTTAGGCAAGAAGAAACTACTGAAAGCTGAGATTTTAGACTTAAGTGACTTATATGTTAGTGATAAGAAGAAGGATGTGTCTTCACCCTTAATTTGTGAGGAGACAGATGAGCAAAAGCTTCAGACTCCGGAAGTTAATAGTAACTTGGAGCAAGAAAAATTGGAGAATTCCAGACCCTCAGAATGCAGATCAGATCCTGAATCACCTATCAGAAAACCAAGTTTATCTCCCACTTCTAAACTTGGATACTCGTACAACAGAGATGCAGACCTTGCGAAGAAAAAACGTATGTCCCTGAGGCAGACAGAGTCTGATCTGGATGCTGACAGAGCCACTGTAAATCATGCAGATCATTCCACGAAGTCAGTCCAGGTAAGAGTTAGAATGATGAAACGTGTTTAATAAGTAGTTATTCTGTGTTCTTGTTTCTTTTTATATTTATAAAACGCTTTAAGTTGTTAAGATGCACTTAGGACCTTTTAATCACTGTAAAATGCTACAGTGATTAAACGTAAAGTATAATTTCTCAATAGAGAAAAACCCAGAATACATCCACTCTCTATTTAAAGATTGTGATACAATATTTTAAGACTATAAATAAATCCCGATTTTAAGAATGAACGATAAAGTGTGTCATCTTTTCAAATCAAAATATTTCTTTACCTATAAAAGCAACATATTTTAATATGAGTAAGTCAAAGATATTTCAGTATTCCATTTAATAAAGAGCATCATTCTGAAATCGTGTAAGGCCAAATTAAATATTTCCCATTTAAAGCATTTTCCTCAGATATTTTAGTTGCATTGTAATTGAGATTTTTAGTCCCATCATTACTTATAATTAAAAATTTCAGTAGCATTAAGATTTCTCCCCATGAGATGGATATTTACTGTATTTAATTAAATTTGCAGTATCATCAATTATAAGACATACCATGAAGAAAGAAAAACAGTCCCAGTAAAACTATGGCACATGATTTTCTTATCACTTAGAATTTTTATTTTATACCTATGGAAGGAACTCTTTTAGACTTATTTAGACATAAATTTATTTATCATGTTGATACTCTTATGTATACATAAAAGGACATTTTAAGCAAAATAAATTGATTAAAGCATTTCTGAAACCTCCGTATGTGAAATCTGACTCTTCTGAATCATTTTTTTATTTAGTTGTTGGTGTTGCTGTTTTTCCACACAGTATTGTCCTCTGTGCCATCCAGAGCATGATGTTTCAGCAGCAGTTCTCAGAGTACGATCTGGGGACCTCGGAGGCTCTCTAAGACCCTTTCAGGGAGACCCCAAAGTTAAAACTATTTCTATAGTAATACTAGAGCATTATTTATCTTCTTTACTCTCATTCTCTCACAAGTGTACAATGGCATTTTCTGGAGACTACATAATTTATGTTATCTCAACAGATTGAATATAGAAGTAGGTATGAGAATCCAGTTGATCTCTCTTAAGCCAGATACTAAAGAGAGTTACAAAAATGTCAAATAATGCCATTTTTGTTACTTTTAAGTAGTTATTTTTTATTAAAATATTACCATGTAAAGGATTTACTATGGTTATTTCTAAAGGAAAAAGTAAATAACTTCTTACAAAATTTCTCAGCTTTAATTTCAAAAATAACAAATACCAATAGCAAAAACTCTTTGGGGTCCTCAGTAATTTTTAAGTGCGTACAGGGGATCTGAGACCAAAAAAGTTTGAGAATCTCTGAATTACTGCATTTCTTAAAAGAGTACTCCATGATTGTGTTTGGGATTTTCTTCCAAGCCAGTAACACTCATTGGTATATTGGCACTTTCTTGACCTTACCAGAAGGTCCCATCAGAAGATTTTCAGACAATAACCAGGAGTCATGTTCCTTTCTCAAATAGTCCTCAAATAGTTGTTGACTGAAGCATCAAGGGGTGGCAGTCATGCTACCAGGAGTATCAAGCACATGCATACGTAACAATGACATCTATGTCTCGATTGCCACCTGGATGACAGATTGCAAATTGCCATCAGTTAATTAAAAGTTTTCAAAAATGGTAAGAAAAAAATGTGTAACTTAGAATCAAAGAAATATAGTAGCTATCAGAGCAAGCCCCTGTTCTGCTTATAAAAAATCTTAGATGAACAGGTCCTAAGTACCTAAACCTCTCTGAAAGCTCTCAGGCCAGCATAATGTCCATATCATACCAGTTGCCGTCAAGTTGACTCCAACTCATGGCAACCCCATGTGCGTCAGAGTAGAACTGGGCTCCATAGGGCTTTCAGTGGCTGATTTTTTGGAATAGATCGCCAGGCCTTTTCTCATGTAGGTTTAACAGTTGCAGAGTTTGGTGAGCTTAAGTTCTTATATCCCATACAGAATATCATGCTGTGATTCTATTCAGATGACTTAAGTGACATACAAATACGTCCACTGGATGATAGAAGCAACAACTGTTCACAGCTCCATATGTCTGGTCATTGGTCATTGGTTTATTGATCAGAATTTTGTTTAAGGTAAACTTAAAGGTTTTTGGCACCAGACTGGCAAAAGTAATACCTGACACCAAAAATAGTAATATGGGTGCTGACACTTGATAGTGTTTTTTATTGTATATAGCAGCTAAATTTTGGACAGCACACTAGCCTGAAAGCTTTCAGAGAGATTTAGGTACTTAGGACCTTTTTTTTTCTTTTTTTTTTTTTTATTGTACTTCGGGTGAAGGCTTACAGAACAAATAGTTTCTCATGAAACAGTAGTACACATATTGTTTTATGACAACGGTTAACAACCCCACAACATGTCGACCCTCTAACTTCTCAAACTTTTTTTTTTGGTAAAAATACACATAGCCAAAGATACACCATTTCAAAAATTTCTACATGCACAGTTCAGTGACATCGACTACGCTCTTCCAATTGTGCTGCTATTCTCACTTTAGATGAAGGCTTGCAGAACAAAATAGTTTCTCATTTAACAGTTACTACAAATGTTGCCCTATGACAATGGTTAACAATCTCACAACACATCAACAATATCCTTACTCAACCTTGGGTTCCCTATCACCAGCTTCCTTGTCCCCTTCTGCCTTCTGGCCCTTGTCACTGGACTACTGTACCTCGTTAGTCTCATTTGGTTTTACAGGGCTCTCCACTCCCAGGCTGAACAGTGAACCTCGGAGATAACTTCACCACTGAGCTAAAAGGGTGTCTGGGGGCCGTACTCTCAGGGTTTCTCCAGTCTCCTTTAGGCCAGTAAATCTGGTCTTTTTTTTGTGTGAGTTAGAATTATGTTCTACATCCTTCTCCAGCTCTGTCCAGAACCCTCTGTTGTGATCCCGGTCAGAGCAGTCAGTGGTGGTAGCCGGGCACCATCTAGCTGTACTGGACTCAGTCCCGGTGGAGGCCTTGGTAGCTGTGGACCATTAGTCCTTTGGACTAATCTTTTCCTTGTATCCTGTTCTCTTCATTCTCCCTTGCTCCCGAAGGGACTTAGGACCTTTTTTAATTTGAGATTTTTTAATAAGGAGAGCAAAGGCTTGCTCTGATAGCTACTATATTTCTTTGATTCTAAGATACACATTTTTTCTTAAATTTGTTTCTGTTTTGTATACTGTATTTCATCAATTCTAAGATATAGTATTTTCTCTTTCTTAGTAGTTCATATAATAATGGTGAGTCTTAAAATTGATGACCTTAGATTAGAGGAAATTTGCTAACTTAATATGGCTTTATAGACCTAAAAAAGTCATAATGTTGCCCATTTTAGTGCCTAATATGATGACCGTTATATATCTTACATATATCTGTATTAAATTTTACAACCCCACGAGGTAAGTAGAGAATCCTATTTTATATATGGGAAAACTGGGGTTTACAGAGTTGCCCAAGGTCACATAATAAGTGTTAAAGTTCAAATTCAAAACCAACATGTCTTATTCCAAAGTCTATGTTCCTAACCTTTATGCTGACAGTATCTCTTTGTTTTTAACCATAATCACACTAAAAAATAATCATAACTTAGATGTAAAGTGGTCAGCTTTACTGAAGGGCAATTTGGCAGTGTGCATCAAGTTCATTAAAAATGTTTATCTCATTAGATTCTGCTTCCAGGAATATTTCCTAAGGAGATAATCAGAATTGTATATAAGATTTTATATATAAGAATGTTCATAAAAGCATTATTTATTATAGTGAAAAATTATAAACAACCTGAATGTCAACTAAAATAAGACAAATTAAATAAAGTATGATGCATCCATATAATAGAATACTAGGTTGTTGTTGTTAGTTAGTTGCTGTTGAATCAATGCAGACTCATGGCAACCCCATGTGTGGAGTAGAACCGCTCCATAGGGCTTTCAAGGCTGTGACCTTTCAGAAGCAGATAGCCAGGCCTGCACACAGGGTTTGAACTGCCAGCCTTTCCGCTGGTAGTCAAGCGCTTAACCATTTGTTAAGCCACTCAGGGACTCCCTGAATACTAGGTAGCTAATTAAAAAATCATGTTAATGCTCACAATATAATATTTAGTGGGGGGGAAAAAAAGATTCTACAGTGATTATCTCTGGGTATCAGGATTATTCATTATTTTTATTTTTACTTTTATGTATTTTCTAAACTTTATATAAGGAATATGGATTACATTTGTAATCAGAAAAAAATAATTTGTGTGTATTTGCTCTTAAGACCAAAACACAGTTTGTCTGTGTAGCTGGTTGGGATCACTGAACACCTGTGAAATCGCAGAATTTAGTGCTAGGGAGGATCTTAAAGATGCTCTCTGTTCTAAGTCCTCTCATTTCAAAGATAAGGAAATTGAGGGATTAAAAAAGTAATAGTTAACATTTTCCCAGCACTCACTAAGTGCCAGTGCTAAGTATGTTACTCTGTTTCACTTAATCTTTACAATATCCGTATGAGAATTGATCTATTTTTATCCCCAATTATAAATGAAGAAAGTGAGGCTTATATAAATTAACTTACCCACAATTAAGTGATGAAACTGGGATTTGAACCCAGATCTGCCTGACTCCAAAGTTCTTAAACACTATGTAGTGGAATGAGATATAGTTTTTAAGTGACCTGCTCAGCATTACATTGCTCATTATTAGTGGACGAGGGATTAGCAGTCTGGTGTCTTGACTGAAAATTCAGTGTTCATTTAATTAACTTTTCTGTTTTTGAGAAAGTGTTGTTATTGTAACCAGTTCGATTGCAATGGCCAATTCCATTATGCACTATCAACATGAACTAAGAATCTATCACTTATACATTTAAATTGTATCTATTAAGACTTTCTGTTTAATTCTCATAAAACCTTGGGTGATGCAATATTCTAGAATTAGATTGTGTGGTAATGGTTGTACAACCCTGTGAATATGCTAAAATCCACAGAATTGTACACTTTAAGAAAAATCTTTCCTTATATAGGGCTGCAGGAAAGGATTTAGAAATAGTTATAGTAAGGTATAAAGACCAGCAAGAGACCCAAAAATGATGTACTAAATTTAAATTTAAAAAGGTAGTTTCACGTTATACCAAATAAAGTAATAGGCGTACTGTTTATTGACCTTCCCCTTGAACCGGAGTGATACTTATGATTGGAACCAAAACTATGCACTGAAAGGGAAGTAAAAGAAATTAAGTATTGGAGTAGTAGTCATCTAAAGCCAGAAGTTGGTTACTTTAGTAGAAAAAAGGAATTTGGAGTTACTAGCAGTATTTAAGAATTGATCTCTACTGGTGGCCAATACCTATTATTCTCCAAACATGTATTGTAAAATTATAAATTAATCCAGGAAAATTCTCTTCCAATTCTGATATGGTTAATTGTTTTTGTTGTAACAAGTGAACAATGGAGGAAGCTAGGTTTACAGTTTTTTACAAACTATGAAAGATTTGAATTTTCTATAAATATTAGTTGTCAAGAATTTAAAAGATTATTGCCACAGACATTTAATATCAACATAAAATTTGGCAGACATGTGTTTATCAATTCTGGAAACCAAAACCAAACTAAACTACCACTCATAGCAACCCTACAGGACAGAGTAGAACTGCCCCATAGATTTTCCAAGGCTGTAAATCTTTACGGAAGCAGACCGCCCCATCTTTCTCTCATGGAGCGGCTGTTAGGTTTAAACTGCTGACTTTTCAGTTAACAGCCGAGCGCTTAACTACTGTGCCACCAGGGCTCCTGTTATCAGTTCTATATGACTATAAAAATGAAGGAGTCCCTAGGTGGTTTATGATAACCAAAGTTAGTTAATGTTAGTTAATGCTGACCAAAGATCAGAGGTTCAAGTCCATCCAGAGGTGCCTTGGAAGAAAGGCCTGGTGATCTCCTTCCAAAAAATCAGCCATTGAAAACCCTACAGAGCACAGTTCTATTCTGACACGTGTGGGGTCACCATGAGTTGGAATCAACTTGATAGCAACTTGTAATGAAAATGAAACTGAGAAATTTTTAAAATGTCTTTGATGGCTAAATTATATTGTATTTAGCAAATATGAAGAATGTATATAATATCAATATGGACCTTACACCTTATGAGAATATGTTCTCATGACACTATAATCTTACACTTGACCTCCTCTATTGTTTTGACAGATTATCTAACCATTAATTAGTTTACAAATGTAGAGTACATCTTTCTTTTTTTTTTTTTTGCTTCTAATTCTGCATCTTTGCTTTTAAGCATCGAATGTTATCCAGACAAGAAGAACTTAAAGAAAGAGCAAGAATTCTGCTTGAACAAGCAAGAAGAGATGCTGCTTTAAAGGCAGGGAATAAGCAGAATACCAGCGCAGCCACACCACTCAGCAACAGGCAGCTAAGTGATGTGAGGAACATTGGTTGAAAAAACCATAGATTATAATTGTAATCATGGGTCAAGAGGAGTGATTTGCTTGTATTTTTGCTGAATAATTATTTTTCATAGACTTTGTACATTGTGAATACTTGCTATTCTTATTGAACTAATAACTTCATATTTGGAGGAACATATTGTGATACTCCTACACAGCAGTGTTAGCTATGAGGAAAAGTAAAATCCTAGAATATCATTTCCACATATACATGAATCTGTATTTCGTGTATTTACATTTTTCAATTTTAGTAGTACTGTTTAAGGTTGTATTTTGTCCATGAAAGTTAATTCTGCTGAAAATATTAGAATATAATAATGATACCAACCATTTATTGAATACCTACTACATATTTCAGGTACTACAATGGATGTTTTATGTAATTTTTGTTTCACTTGACCCCATTCAATCTACTTTCCAGATGAGAACACTGAAGCTGATAGGTAAGGTAATTTGTACAGGATCACAGAGTTAGTAAATGATGAATCCAGAATTTGAACCTGAGCCTTATGAGACTCCGGATTCATTGCTCTTTTCTGTCATAGACTGCCATCCCTACGTTAAACCACGTCTACGCATGTTTTTGTGTAGTGCATCAGAGACAATAATGAACATATAATAGTGTTGTTGTTTTTGTGTGCCACCAAGTCGATTCCTAGAAACCCTTAAATTTAGGGAAACTTGAACCTCTTCATGAATCTGGTGAAAACTATGACATCCCTCCCCTCCACCAAATTCACATATACATAAAATGGCATACTCTTCTTATGGGTCTGCAGATACCAGTTTAAGACTCTATAATCTCAAGCATTGTTTTTCAGACTTTAAGTCTGACACAATAATGGGATATAAAATCAACTTAGAGGGCCTCAATAATTATTTTTAGTGAAAAGAAACAGGATAGAATGGAATAGGAAATTTCAGAATTCATCGCATATAGTAAGCATAGTATTTTTTTTGTGAAAATTTTGTTTCAGTTGTGTGTGTTTGTGTGCGTGTTTACTGGGTCTTGAAGAAAAACGTATTTTCAACTGGGTCATGATCAAAAGCGTTTGAGAAACACTAATCTAGAGGACCACGCTTTCTAAGGAGGAACCTCTATAGCTTTTACGTCAGCTTTTTCAGTGCCTAGCCATCTCTTATGGCATAAATTTTTTGATTCAGTCATTTGCCAGATATTTATTGAATGTCTGAATTGAATATATTTATAGTGATAGACTAAACTTCTTCCCTCATGGAGTTTACATTCTGTTGGGAAGAGAGACAATAACAAATAAATAAGCAAGATAATCAAAGAGTATGAAAACTGCATATATAGTAGAGGGTAATTTGGGTAGGTGGGGGCTTGAGTGATCAGAGGAGAGGACACCTGAACTAAGATTTGATGGATAAGAAGGTTCTAATCAAGTGAAGAGCCACAGAAAGAGTATTCTTTATAAAAAGAAAGTTATTTTGTTCATATTATATTGTATTTGTAATAAACTTTGTTTAATAATTCTTTCAGGCACTCAGAAAAATGGAAAATTTGTACCTTTATATTTTTCAAATGTGTTGATTTTAGATTCAGAATACCTGAGATTTAAATGATATCTGCCAAGTGGATTTTTTAAAATTACAAATATTTTACATATATTAATAACTATCATCTAATATTTATCAAGTACTTACTATGCCAAGCCAGATTCTAAGTGCTTTTACATGGATTTTCTCATTTAATTATCACAACTGTATGAAGTAAATATATTCATCTTCGTTTTATGGGTGAAAAAACTAACACACACAAATTAATGAATTGCCCGTGGTCACACAGGTAATAAGAAACAGGCCAGAAATTGAACCTAGGCAGTTTGACTTCTGACATCATGTTCTTAAACATTGTGTTATATTTCCTTCTCATTTGGTCCTCTGACATCCTTGCAAAGTAGGAATAGATATTATTGTATCCATTGTAGATATTAGGAAAATGAGTTCTTAAAAAAGTGTTTAAACTTACCTAGGGTCACAGGCAGTGGCAAGATAGGGTCTGAATTCAAGTATCCTGACTCTTGGAACTGTTTCTTCTTTCATTCAATTCATTCACTAGTTTGACCTTTCAACAAGTATTTGTCAGTCATCTCTTCTGTACAACGTACCAATAACTTTACTTATACTTTATCTTCCCCAAGTGAAACTTAAACCTTTAAAACTCAAACCTTTAATAAATAAATTTTATTATTGTGAATTGAATATCAGAAGTGAATTACTAAAACATCTCTTATTCCATGTCTGTGACATCTTACTATATTTTTGAAGTGTATAACTTGGATTTTAAGGAACATAATGCTCGTGACAGTTTATTGAGTTAGATCTACTTATGCTGCTGGAGGCATGTAACTTGCCACATATCTCTGGAAAGCTATTATGCATCATCAAGAAATCCTCATTCCCTTTTACCCAATAATTCCACTAATAAATCTCCATAAATAGATTTTCATCACAATGTTATTTATAATAGCGAAAATTTAGAAATGGCCTAATGCTTAAAAATAGGAGAATGATTAAATAAATTATGTAAATACATATAATTGTCATGTAGCCATTAAAATTATCTAGTTAATATTTTTTTTTTTTTTTTGGTGCTGTAGATGAAGGTTTACAGAACTAGCTTCTCATTAAACAATTAGTACACATACTATTTTGTGACATGGTTACCAACCCCAAAACATGTCAGCACTCTCCCCTTCTCGACCT